CTTTCACAATGCACTCTCACACTGAGATGGTACCGTTAAATAACCTGGGGCGGTGTATTTGTCCTTGAAACTTTCCAAAAATTCTTGCATTCTTTCACCCCCACCCTAGAACATTGTGTTCGCATAACGGGACGAAATAATGCAGAGCTCGGTTCACACTAGTGCGAAAATAGTGTTAAACTCACCATGTGAAACAAAAGTGAATGAATATTAAACAACATATAAACTTAAAAAAAAAAGCCCCGGTTAAGCCGCAAACCGGTTAATCCGCCCCCGGATAATCGAGAGTTGACTGTACTTCCATTGATAATGTGTTCATTGACATCACTAGATTTAATAATTTTCTTGTCTCACCTACACATAATGGATTGTCTGACCACGAAGGTGAAGTACTTACCACTGCCCTTCCCTTCACATTAATAAGAGAACATCAGTCCTATATACGTGTATACAGGAAAATTAATACATTTACTGTTGCTGAGTTTTTAAATCAGTTAAGCTATGTAAATTGGGACGAAGTCTTTGGAGGAAGTAACGTGAATTATATATTTAATGTCTTCTTGAACACCTACTTGAGAATTTTCTATTCTTGTTTCCCTATGATTCATAAACAAAAGATAACAAAAAGTGGAAATATCAACTGGATTACCACTGGTATCAGTCTCTCTTGTGAACAACAACAACAAAAACAAACATATTTAAGACTAAAANTAAAAAAGGAAGGGAATTTAGCCCTAAAAGATTACTATTCGTACTGTAAAATTTTTAACAAGGTCATTGTTTTAGCCAAAAAAATTGCTTATGACAACTATATTAGGAAACTTGGAAAATAATTAATTCAGAAACAGGCAGAATCTCTATATGAAACGACTTTCAAGATCTAATTAAGAAATGCAAGAATGAAAATGCTGCTGAACAAATTAATGACTACTTCGTTTCTATTGGTAACAAATTAATTAAAACAGATAATGTTAAGCACAGCAATATTTTGGCTACAGAATTTTTACCATACATGCATCAGGCTATTTTAAATAATTACTCAAAAATTCATAATGAACCATCCACACCTAAAGAAATTGAAAAAAATAATTAAAGCTTTTAAAACTAAAGATTCTTGTGGATATGATCAGATATCTCTGAGGATCGCTAAACTCAGTACACCTTATATAAGCTCACCATTAAGTTATATTTGTAATAAGAATTTACAATGTGGGGTATTCCCTGATCAATTAAAATACTCTGTAGTTAAGCCAATACATAAAAAGGGAGATAAATCAACATTAGCTAACTACAGACATCTCGCTACTAACATCCTTCTCAAAAACTGTAGAGAGAGTAATGTATAACAGACTCGTAAATCATCTCATGAAACATACTATTATTAGTCAAAATCAATACGGCTTCCAAGAAAATCTATCGACAGACAATGCTATATAGACTTTAATAAATGCAACTTTTAACTGCACTAAATAACAAACTAAAAGCCAAGGGACTATTTTGTGATGTTGAAAAAGCTTTTGATTGTGTAAATCACAACATCCTTCTCCACAAACTGGAAATACATGGAATAACTGGAGTATCCAAGAAATTATATTCACAATATCTTAAGGATAGATACCAGCGCGTTAGCTTGAAAGATAGTATTTTTTTTTTTTTCCATTGGTGCTACAGCCCTCATTTGGGCCTAGGCCTACCTCCATGAAACTGTCCGTTTCACTTCGGTTTACTAGATCTTACACATATGGTAGGACTCCTTGGGCGAGTGATCACCTCATCGCAAGGCCTCTACCTGTAGACAAACACAGAAAAATGCACACAAACATCCATGCCCTGAGTGGGATTCAAACCCACGATCCCGGCTTCTGAGCGAGTGAAGACAGTGCATGCCTTAGACCGCTCGGCTACCGTAATTGGCTGAAAGATAGTGTAACTTCTTCTAATATCACATCTAATTGGTCTAAAATACAGCAAGGGGTACCACGGGGCTCAGTATTGGGTCCTCTGCTGTTCTTATTGTATATTAATGATCTCCCCCAAGCTACTGCTGATTCTGTTTTATCTATCTTGTTCGCTGATTATACCAGCCTCATAGTCATAGATAAATGGTTTAAATCAAATTTGTTATCAGTCAGTCATTTGAAGACTTTCACTATGCAATTTATAACCAAAAACTTTGTTCCTACTAAGGCCTCTAGTTCTTGTAATATTAGTGATATAATAGAAGTCTCTCATCTCAAATTTCTTGGTTTGGAAGTTGATAACGTCCTCTCTTGGAATATACATATTGATTCAGTTATTAACAAACTAACTAGTTTGCTTTATGATGAGATCTGTCAGACCTTATATGTCAGGCTCATCGTTGGTGAAGATATATCATTCTCTGTTTCATTCTATACTATCATATGGAATTGTATTTTGGGGGCAGGCAACCAATACCAAGAAACTCTTTATGATACAAAAAAAAACAGTTTGTTTAATGATGGGATATTGTAATAGGCATTCGTGTAGAAATCTTTTCAGGCAGCTTGGAATTTTACCATTGAAGTCACAATATATTTATTCAGTTTTGCTCTTTGTATCAAAGAATAGAAAACTTTTCACTACTAATCATGATGCACATAATCTCCAGACAAGGCAGAGTAGTAATTTATATCTCCCAACTTCCACCTTAACACTGTAACAAAAAGGTGTTTACTTGACAGGTATAAAGTTATTTAATAATCTGCCTCTTGAAATAAAGGGTATTGTTGAGATACACAAGCAATTTAAGATTTCTTTAAGAAGATACTTGATTACCCATTGTTTTTATGACTTGCAGGAGTATTATAGTGTTAATGAATGATGTTGTAAACTAATGGTTTCATATGAATAGTATGTTAGTTACTCTATATTGTTAAGCCGTGGGTCCTGTGTCATAGATTTACGGCATGTAAAAGAACCTCATGTCTCTAGGAGACCTCTGAGCTAACTTTGGCCAAAAGTTTCCCGCCCAAAGTAGTTTCCAATGCCTCCGGTAGATGGGGAAGTATTAGGTACCACTGCCAGTAGAGGATTAGAACCTCGCTGGCAGAAAGGGGCTGATAGCGAGCACCAGTACCGATAGGGGATGGAGACTGTAGAAATTAAAAGGGGGACGTACAATAGACTATCAGTTGCGGTGCATGGGGAAACCCACCCCCTCAATACCGAATAACTGAATACTCTATATTGAATTATATGAGTCTATCTGTATAATAGTTTTATTGTATTTACAATAATACTTATTGTCTTTTATATCATTTATTTTATTGCTTTATAATTTTGACATGTTCTAATTATTTACTTGAGCTCAACTTATACCTGAACTGTACTTATGATTGTATTGTACTTTTATGTTCTTCTGCTTATCTTGACATATTTTAATTAATATTTGACATGTTCTATATCCTATGGTTTGTAACCAGTTTTATTGGATCATCTGGAACTCGAAATAAATTACAATTTACAAATTACAATCAAAATTTAGAAATTTAATACTCAGTTCATGATGTTCACCAACATGATCCATATCAACTCAGCAATTCAGTGATGACAGTTATGTATTTATTGTAACCATCTGGCAACAACTCACACCAATCAAAACATGTGGTGCACAAAATAAAACGGTATTAACCATTAATATTATTTACTTATAAAATGCTGTGTTGACAGCCACGTTAAACCCCTTTAATTTCCACCAGATTCTTCTTTCTGCTTCACATTCTAGCCACTATAATTTATACCCTGTAATGTTCCAATGTTTCACACTGTTTCCATATTGTAACTGCTAACATACACACAGCCGGTCACAGTAGCCGAGCGGTCTAAGGCATGCACTGTCTTCGCTCGCTTAGAAGACGGGATCGTGGGTTCGGATCTGTTTCCTGTGAGGTATGAACTTAATTCTTATATGTAATTCTTATACACTGCCGGTCACGGTAGCCGAGTGGTCTAAGGCATGCACTGTCTTCGCTCGCTCGGAAGCCGGGATCGTGGGTTCGGATCTGTTTCCAGTGAGGTACAAACTTAATTCTTATATGTAATTCTTATACACTGCTGGTCATGGTAGCCGAGCGGTCTAAGGCATGCACTGTCTCTGCTCGCTCGGAAGCCAAGATCGTGGGTTCGAATCACACCCAGGGCATGGATGTTTGTGTGCGTTTTTCTGTGTTTGTCTACAGGTAGAGGCCTTGCGACGAGCTGATCACTCGTCCAAGGAGTCCTACCGTATGTGTAAGATCTAGTAAACCGAAGTGAAACGGAGTGTTTCATGGAGGTACGCCTAGGCCCAAATGAGGGCTGTAGCGCCAAAAGAAAAAAAAAATATACACACAAGACATAAAGAAAAGAAATTTCATACAGAACTTTCAAGTAAATTTACTTGTATGATCTAACCGCTTACAGAATTTCACATGTAGGCTCTACAGTTTCAATGGTTCATTACTCATTGCCACAAAACTGAAAGCTAAATACAGAACCTGTATGCCTCCTCTCCCCCAAAATATACACTAAGTCTGGTAAAGAACATGATGATAACTCTGCCATAAGAATTATTCATCAAAAGACACAATGCCAACCTCATGGTACTAAATTGCTCGAAAGTATCCTCACATCTCATCTAATACAACATAACATCCAAAGTAAATACAGTATTAAATTATCTGATAATTAACATATACTATGTTAAATAATCCAAGAGAATGGCTTCCCTTATACAATACGCTATTACACTACCTCACTCTCCGTCATCTCTTCTTCAGTCTCTTCTACAATGATGTCACTCTCACCAGTGACACTGGAGGACTCCTGGTTGCTATTTTCCTTGCCATCAGCCTCACTGAATTGTATCTGCAGCTGATGAGTACTTGAACATAACTGCACTCCACCAGTGACAGAAGAATTACAGTTTGACTGATAGTTGACAGCTGACCTCTGCATACCAAATACTGTCTGGTTACAGGCTGGCTCCATTGACAGTTGGCAACAGCTAGCACTAGATGACACATTCACACTTTTTATGTCTGTCTGCAGACAGCTATCCATCACATCACATGGTATTCCTGCATCCAGGCCACATCGGCCATGATCCTGAAAGTGCTGTAGAACTGGTGACATGGTATCTGTCAGAGTGTTCTGATGTTTTGAAGAAATAAAGTGGGCCTGAAAACGTCCAGTATTGTGAGAACCGTCACTGCCCGAGTGTGGGACGAGAGATGCCTGAGAATAGAGAATATCCTCATGGAGTTCACCTGCAGGACCATACAGTGAAGAGTGGCCCACGTAACCACTCTGCTCTTGCTGTTTTAGTTGTACAGGCAGCTGAGTATGTTCAATTGGTTGTCCATTTTGTTGAACTTTCTGAAGATTACAGTATTTGATTCCTTGTTCCTTATTTTGCTCTATACAATCAGACTTCACTAAACCATTATTAGAACACTGATTACTTTGTTTATTTGTGTTTGAACTCTGAGTTTGTGAATGATCAAAACAAGAATCTGATGAATGCTTATGTTCAGGCTGCTCCTGAAGCAACATGTTTATCTGTGAAACAGAGCATGATGGTAATTGTGGGGTGTTTTGATTCTGTTGGATTCCATACCCTATCATGCCTTGGCTGCAGAACCAGCCCTGAGAGTCCAGGCTGTTATTACTTTTAGACTGTATGCTTAACAGTTCTTTGCTTACTGTTCTGTAGGTTTCTGCAGAAACAGGAGAACACATGCCAATATTCTCTGCAATTCCTATTCTATTACCACAACATGTATGGGCCAGACTCTGACCACTACATGATACGGTTTTCTCACTATACTGAGCTCTGCTACCTCTGTCCCTTTCTATCTGCTGCAAAGTACTGTTTACTGCAGGCATAACTCGAGTTTCAGACATCCATGGGTGAGGCTCTACATGACTGTAAGTACTGAAATTGGTTGTGGAGAAAGAACTTTGTGATGTATATCCTGTTTGTGTGCTGAACACGCCATTATACAGCGATTGTCCTTGGTTAGAAATCAAGGGATTGAACACTGGTGACTGTTGTACTCCTCTGTGGAAAAAGTGTCCTCCAGAACTCGTACTGTTATTAGCCAGTATCCCTGAAGCTTGACCAACATTTGATGACATTTCTGCTACTGAATCCAATACCACACTATATGGCAAGGTGTACATTTAAAGTCCATCCACTATTTGAGCACTGCCCAAAGAATTCTGCACATCTGACAGTTGATATCGGGGAGAATGAGTAAAAGGTTTTATAAGTACCACCCACAGCATGGTGGCAACTGGAAAATGACATGAACACATTATCACTATTCACTGCCGTCAAACTTAAGCAACCTACTAGAATCAAAACATCAAATGCAATTCGTAATTATTAACACATGAATTATTTTCAATACAGCTCCTCACTTGTATTACACTCACGGGATGAGCAATGATTAGACACACCGTCCAGTGTGCTGTAGTACATACACAAGTACCAATTCAGACTCTTTTTATGTAAAATCAGAAAATTTCATTTGAACGTTGTTCTCAAAAAATTTTTTACATTACCCGTAGGTTGTATCCCTGAAGTTTGCATTTTAAAGCCCGCTCAAACCTGAAACCATCAAACTGAAAATTGCATAACCTCAGCGTCGTTTACTTTCATAAAGTTTACCACATCATAGCAACGGTAAAAGGTAAGGTTAAGTTGTCCCTGTGCTTAAGTAATTAAGCACTACGCCATGAAAGCGTATGGGGGAGTGGAGAAGAAAATATGCAATATGACATTATAAAACTGAATTTAACGTGATCGCACCTCGAACAGCACAATTATTAAAAAAGTCAGTTAATACGTTTTCATACAAACAATAATATAAAGATTAAAACACAAGTGAAAGAGGAATTCGGTATCGTTGTAGTGGCATTAGACATGATCACGGTTACCATGTACTTACACGGTGTTTTAAATTCAGTGTGCAATTAGCTCAAAACGCGGCTTTACAAAATTTTCGTCTCAGTGTACAGTCTTCCAGAACATACAAGAATATGATATCGCAGGCAGTATTCCCCACAGATCTGGCAGAGGATTTTGAGGAACTTCACTCCCATTTACTGCTTTCTATTCACTGCAAGCACGGACCACTACACAAATCGCTTCATTTCATTTCATTTATTCACACTGCATAAATCCTGTCGAGAATACATTCTCATCGGATGTGGAGATCGTCCTAGTTATAGTCACAACAAAGAATTACAGTTGTCATCCAATAGCATACACATTTGTAATAAAATACTGATAAATATATACAATATAATAAATTATGTTAATTTTAGTAGTAAAAGTACTGGCAAACCTTATACAGAAGAAAGCAGCCTTCTGGGATTTGGCACCGTGTATATGTGGTGTTAACCGACGTTTCGGAGGAACGTATCGCCTCCATCTTCAGGGTAGAAGAAAAAATATAAGAAATCTGCAAGCGGAGAGACCGTGAGNTTATACAGTTTGTACAGTTTTATACCAGTGAATTCAATCATAACATTTTCTGTGCCTGGCTTCGCCTTGTCTTATACTGCGAACATGTTCATTCTCATGATTTTGTATTTGTACGGATCGAATACTGTCAGCTGTAGTAAAATTGGATAGTCTCATGGTGATTAATGAAGGCTAGTGCGATAGTAGTTATCCTTCTTACTAATTGAGCTCTCGGTTGTGGATGCATCCTATTTGCGGCAATATTCTGAACAAGGGCAGCAGATGGCAGCATAATAACATTGTGTCGTCATAGAGACTACATTGCCATAGAAGTGCACGTCTGTTCATTATTTGTCATTGTTACTAAATATTAGTTCGTGGAAGGGAAGAAAGTGAAGACGTGGACCAATTTGATTGAGGTGTTAGAAAAAGCTTGAAGTAAATTTTTGAACGAAACATTTGCGTGCTTGTCTTTGAAAAGAAGTGGGTATAAAAAATGTTCAGAAAATAATGGTACATATATCTTCAAGTAAGTACTGTAGAGGGTAAAATAGATGTGGAACAAGTCAGGTTACAAAATAAATACAACTAGGAAGTCATAATAGAATAGACACAAGACACATACACTTAACTTAACAAGCTGCTGTTAATTATGTAAGGTTTAATATTTATCAAATTAGAAGGAGTGCAACATAAGAAATTTTTAATGACAGCTGAAATTGTCTTTCATTAGTTGATAGATTTTCAATTTCTAGTGGGATTTTGGCAAATTTTACGCTTAGTTACTTCTTAAAATAGACTGTTATGAAGCAGTGTAAGATCAGCAATTGGTCTGTGGAGGTTGTGTCTCTATCTGGTGTTCTCTTTATAATCCTCAGAATTTGAGTAGACAGTTTCTACACAACTCACCTCTCTAAGCACCAACCATAATTCTCATTACTTCCTTCTGTAGAAGGAGTTCATTATTACGGTTAGTTAAATGTTTGCAGAATATTGTACTGTATGATGTGAGTGAGTGAAAGTTTGTGAAGTTCACTGTCTTTTAAACACTCTACACTAGCAAGAAATAATAGATATCTTATTTCATAGCACAGTGAATGTAATTTTGTTGGGTGGGTGGCTGGATATCATAGATTCTACAGAACAGGGCTTAGGACAAGTGAGTACAGTAGTAGCACATTTGGAAACAAAGTACAAGTACGAAGCATTCCACTCCACAACAGATTAAATTGTGTACACAGTTACATTGTTAGTCTGAGTTTTCCTGCTTTAGGAGCTCTTTATTATTTAACAAAAGAGATAACTTACAGTCCAGTGTGACACACAAGTTCACCACACTTCGATCTTCACTCGCCTTACATGTTTCGATTCAATAGAATCATCTTCAGAGGCGCACCAGTACGAGCAGGAACCACTGTCACATAAGATTTGACGTTATGCACTAAGGTTATAAATAGTGCTCACTGTATCACAATTTGCCCTTTGCGTTCACGTTGACGTGTAGATTTACATAAGATGTCATTTCGTCTAGGCGTCCTTTCTGGGTATTCGACTGGAATTTCCCACTGCACGCAATGTGATGTTTACCTTTCTTAAAATAGCCTCCTTATGTATTTAAAACTGTGTTAAAATGCTTTTGTGTTTAAAAAGTTAGTTACTATGTTAAAATCGTGAACCAACATTGGGTCATGCTGCTGTTTTTCTGGACGGTAGGAGATGTCGATATTTCTCTGCGTTGTGTGTTCCTGTTGTTAGTTGTGCAGCACACATGCGTGCTGTGTCGTATGTACAAATACAAGGAACATTCTCATGAAACATATACTTAATTTCACCAAAATGTGTGCTATACAATTTTTTTCATTTTAATCATTTATCAGCATGCAGACAGGGGAACTTCGTTGTTTTTGTTTTTTGTATATAGTGTGTATTGTGTATACTATATTGTAGGCTGTGCCATAGCTCAAGCTGTTTGTCGCTGGCTTCCCACTGTGGCGGCCCCTGTTCGATCCCGGGTCTGGTCAAGTGGGATTTGTGGTGGACAAAGTGGCGCTGGGCCAGGTTTTCTCCGAGTACTTCAGTTTCCCCTGCCAATCTTCATTCCACCAATTGCTCCACAATCACCTTCACCTATCATCTGGGGCTGGTACGATAGGCCAGAAATGGCCGCAGTACAAGGAACTTAGTTCCACCCCACTTACTTACTTATTCATGGAGCTGAGCCCTTCTGGAGGAACTGCGAATTCTGCAGCTACTCAAGAATTTCCCAGCATTTTATGGGACCCAAAGGTTCATTACCATGTTCACAAGAGCCCTCCACTGGTCCCTATCCTGAGCCAGATCTATCCAATCCATACCATCCCATTCTATCTCTCTAAGATCCCTTCTGATATTGCCCACCTACCTATGCCTTGGACTTCCCTGTGGTCTCTTTCCTTCTGGCTTTCCCACCAGTATCCTATACGCATTTCTCATCTCCCCCATTCGTGCTACATGACCTGCCCACCTCATCCTCCTTGACTTGATCATTCTAATTGTACTTGGAGAAGAGTACAAGTTATGAAGCTCCTCATTATGCAGTTTTCTCCAACCTCCTGTCACTTCATCTCTTTTCGGTCTAAATATTCTCCTCAACACCCTCAGTCTATGTTCCTCCCTTAATGTCAGAGACCAAGTTTCACACCCATGCAGAACCATAGGCAAAATTATAGTTTTGTATATTCTAATTTTTATGGTTTTGTGAAAACAGACAAGAAGACAAAAGGTTCTGGACTGAATGGTAGCAAGCATTACCCGAGTTCAGTCGCCTCTTACTTTCCTCCTGAATCAGGTTTTGATCTGTTATCGTTGTTCCCAAATATCTGAACTGTGCCACATTTTCAAAACATCTGTTTCCTATCTTTATGTCATGATTTTGCCCTGCATTTTGGTGACGAGACAGTAACATATACTTAGTTTTCTCTGTGTTTACTTCTAGACTAACCTCTTTACTTGCATCAATGAAAGTTTGTGTGTTTTTCTTTATATGATCAAGTCAAGGACGATGAGGTGGTCAGGTCATGTAGCACGAATGGGGGAGACGAGGAATGCATATAGGATATTGGTGGGAAAGCCATAAGGAAAGAGACCACAGGGAAGACCAAGGCGTAGGTGGGTGGACAATACTAGAATGGATCTTGGAGAGATAGAATGGGATGGTATGGATTGGATAGATCTGGCTCAGGATAGGGACCAGTGGAGGGCTCTTGTGAACATGGTGATGAACCTTCGGGTTCCATAAAATGCTGGGAAATTCTTGAGTAGCTGCAGAATCGGCGGCTCCTCAAGAAGGGCTCAGCTCCATGAGTAAATAAGTAATTGTTTTTCTTTATGGTATCTACATTATCACCCAGTAGATTCACATCATCGGCGTAGACCAACAGCTGATGTGTCCTGTTTAATTTCAGTCCCACCCGGTTTCCCTGGACCTTCCTGATTGCGTATTCTAAGGCAAAGTTGAAAAGGAGTGGCGATAAAGCATCTCCTTGTATTAGACTATTCTGGATAGGAAATTTATCCGACAAATGTTTACCTACACAGACTTTACTATACGTTTCGTTTAAACACATTTTAATCAACCTAACTAGTTTCATGGGTATCCCAAACTCTATTAGAATATTGTACAATACTTCCCTCCTGACTGAATCATGGGCTTTCCTGAAGTCTATGAATAGCTGATGTACTGTCTCATCATACTCCCATTTTTTCTCCAATATCTGATGAAGGCAAAAGATCTGATCTGTAGTTGATCTGTTACGTCGAAACCCACTGATGATCCCCAGTAATTTCATAGTCCCACCCCACTAGCATTAAAAAAATTACTATATTGTAGCTTATTTGTATATCAGTTATTGCATTTTTGTTACTTCCAGATTTAATGACGTTCATTTTATTAAGTTTTAAAATAAGTTTATTAGCCATGAACCATTTTTTTTCATGACTTTTAAGATGTGTTTTGATAGGTCTACTAGCTTGCTTACCTCTGGCTCAGAGAGTGTCATACTACCATTATCTGCAAATACAGAGGGGTCCAAAAAAATTTACTCACTCTTTGATAGTCAATATCTTTGGAACAAAATGACATGTAGTTACAATTCTTGCATGGAGAGAGTCATTGTATGTGTTCGAAATTACCACCATCAGTGGCTAAACAGCGTTGATGCCGCCAAACTGCTGAGCGAAGTACGGCTGTCAGTGTGTCTGGTGTGATGGCTGCACACGACGCTTCGATGGTTTCTCATAGCGTGGTCAGTGTAGCTGGCTTTTGTCGATAAATCTCATCCTTCAAGGTTCCCCATAGGTAGAAGTCGAGAGTTGTTAGGTCTGGAGACTGTGATGGGTACTCAATAGCACCTCATCGACCTAACCATCATCCAGGTAGAGTGTCATCCAAGTACGCCCTGAAATCTCGATGGCAGTGAGGTGGAGCACCATCTTGTTGTAGGTAAAATCTCTCTTCTCCAAACAGCTCTCGAATGGCAAGGAAAATCAATGTCTGAAACATATCGAGATACACATGACCAGTTACGGTACCTTCAAAGAAGAGAGACTGGACTTGTTACTATCCTTGGTTGCCCAGATCTATGCTTCTGCACATCATGAACAGTACCGCCAGCTTCAAATTTATCCTGAATACGGGCAATTGTTCGATGTGTTGGTGGCTGAGTTCCAAACTCATTCTGCCATTTTCGTTGTACCTCTTTAATGTTTTCGTACTTCTAGTACCACTTCAATACAGCCTTGCGTTGCTCAAAGAACAACCTTTCAGACATTGTTGCTTCTATCTTCTGCTCGCAGCGCGCACATGGCACGACACTCATGTGACTCATGTGACCTTTGCCATCTGTTGAGAAAACATTACACTACACTGCCACGCAAGAATTGTAACTACATGTCATTTTGTTCCAAAGATATTGACTATCAAAGAGTGAGTACATTTTTTTTTGGAGGCTGAATTGATCTTGGAAGTGAATAATTAATACACAAGACAGAAAGAAGCATACCAAGTATGGATCTTGAGGAACTTCATGGTGAATATTACCCCAGTTGGAATAAATATTCTCTTGAGTGGGCATTTTATCATAACTGTTTGTAATCAGTTTTTGGGTACAAAGTAAACCATTTACTAGAATTTCTGTTTATTCCATAATAAGGTGGTTTAGTCAATAATGTGCTGTGATTTACAGTCAAATGCCTTGTCATTGTCACAGAAAATTTCTGATACACTGGTTTCTATTATTGAGTGCCTGTAATATGTCACGAATAAGTCTAAATGTGGTATTGCTCGTGGGTAGATCCTTTCTAAAACTAAAGTGTTCATGAAATAAAACACCGTTGAGTCTGAATGGTGCATTACTCTCTTGAACACAGCCGCCTTTAATATATTAGAAATTAATGTTGTATTCTAGCGTCCTGTTGCACTGATTTTCGTCCATGATATGTATGCAGTGTCTGTCTTTTAGTGCACTCAATTTCACTTGTTATTTCACAACATGTTTCGGCACTATAGTGCCATCATCAGGTGCTGCATTTACGTTAATGTATTTCATTGCTTGCCATTATGTCATTTTAAAATTTAAAAAGTATTTAAAAATGTTCGTCACTTATAATAAATATTTATATACTAAAAACTTGTTAAGATTATATATCTTATCTGTCCCAATTCTTACATCGCGCATAGTTCCACCACTATGGGAGTCATTCCTCTTACTCTCAGTGTATATCGTGTCTCGTGTTGTATGTTCCCTGTTTGGTTGCGGGTGTTGTAATCAACACCCGCAACCAAACAGGGAACCCTGGGTCTACTCGGCATGGCAGCCACCGATTGGCCTACTGTACCTGCCCCGGGTGATTATGATGATGGAGAATTTGGTGTTATGAGGATTGGCAGGAGAAACCGAAGTACACGGAGAAAACCTGCCCCAGCGCCACTTTGTCCACCACAAATCCCACTTGACCAGACCCGGGATCGAACCTGAGCTGCCGTGGTGGGAAGCCAGCGACAAACTGCTTGAGCTATTGCGCGGCCAACAGTTATGTAATAGAAATATTCAGAAGTTTAGGTAAAGTCCCCATGAGGAGTCAGGTTAGAATACCTCCATCATAACCCTGCAAGTTGTAAAAGGCCATGAAAAGGGAATCCAGTGCCTGGGGGTATAATTGGGCTACCCTGTCACAGTGGGGCATAAATAAAGAGACCTGTTTCTCCAGATTTGGGGTTGAATGCAAGTCTGATGACCTTGCTCTTAAAAAAAAAGATTGTTGCAAAATACAAAGAAGTGAAAACCAGATGGTCTGATTCCCAGGAATGGATAAATCTGGCAGAATCTTCCAAGGAAGGCTGTGGCTCAAAAAGGGCTGTTTTGTTGCCAGTGGTGATGGGAAAAGGTAGAGTTATCCCTTGGCTTAATTAATTAATTAATGATCACGCCATGAAGACATACGTGGGAGTGGTGGTATAGGCCCACCATTCTTAATCTCAGCAGAAGATGGAGATGAGCAGTGAACTTCACACCCCTGCCACTTTACCCCCAGGGAAATAGCCCCCAGTACCCATTGAACAGGAGGCTGGTTGGGCTCCAGAACTGGTCTGAACATTTTGAAGAATGAAAAATCTCTTGCCTTTACTGGGAATTGAACCCTGACTCCTCAGTCATCCAACACATAGCCAAGTCACTATTCTGACTGAGGTATCTGGGCCCCAACTTTTGTCACAGCAATATAGGTAACTGGAATCAGTATTGACTTCTGAGCTTCTGAGAGATCACTCCTGTATATGTCAATCCTTGCCAGCAGTAGTTTAATAGGCTGATTAAAATGGTAAATGTGCTGTGTGTATATATACTTCGCAAAGTTGTGAAGTTTGTTTTCCTAATAATTAAACAAATTTCCAGGTGGGACAGTTCAAGACAGACCTCCATGGAGCCTGTCAAGATTGATAGCATTATTCTGGAGTTTCTTAAATTTCATATTTATGTTGTAAGTATGAAATCATATGCATAGAAGTGAGTTATTTTTTAGTTCACAGTTCTTTAATTATATCTTGTAAACTAAAATTTGCAGTCAGTTATGGTTTGATTGTGTGATAGTGTTACTGTCATTCCCCCCAGCCATGGAATTGGCATCATGTCGCTTTCTAGAATGTCACTGTATTTTGTCATGTCTCTATACATAATTACATTTTATATAACTCCAGAATTCTATAAGGAATACAGTTATTGGTGCATCTTTCCACAAATTCTCTGTTGTTTGTAATATAATCACTTAAAAATTAGTTGTATTAATTAGTGCCATTGTGAATTGCAGCTTTAAGACTTTGGTCAACCCTGACTTAAACAGATATGGAGACAGGTATACACGAGATTACAGGCCTGGACCCGGGTAAGAAGTAATTTATATTGGATTATGTGGTAGTGACCTAATGATCCAGTTAGTTGATATGCTTGTAGTTATGCTTAAGGTGATGATTACAGTGCCATACATTTTGAATGCCCATCATAAGTATCAGTGTGAAAGCTATACTAACTCTCAAGGTAGGAAAACACTAGCCTAATGAGTGTTTAATAATTGAGAATCCTGAATTTTCATGAAAAATATGCAACCCTTGTGTATGACATCAGTGTATGAAATATATTTATGACCCCTTAAATTGAGTTGCTTTCTGATGTTATAAAAATCGAACCATTATGTGTGGGCATGTGGAATTTTGTATGATGAGAGGTTCTAAATATGGCTACATATTTTGTGTGAAGTATTTTTGTTCTGCATTGATATGTGCCAATTTGGGAACAGTACAAATACTTATAGTTTCAAGGATATAGAAACCAAATTTGTTTCCCCTTCACCCACACTTTGTATGTTTCATTTACAAGGAAACTATCATTTGGACCACATTCCCCATATTAGATTTTGTGTCTTGTTTTGAACTAGTAGGTGAATATATTTCAGGAACCTCTGCCCATGTTGTACCACACAAGATAAAAGCCTGAAACCTTTCTTGAGGAATTTCTGTACTCATGTGTTCTTTATGTTAAGAGCATCAAATGAAAGGATAATGGAGACATTATGTCTGCCTGAACACGTGATTCATCTATAGATGTGTGACTGGTTCTGATTAAATTTGTTATTGGGGTGTCTACACCAGAAGTTGTCAGATTAATTTAATTTTGGTGCATCATCGGTCAATTTACTTGAAGTCAGATTCAAACTTCGTCACATGTCTCAAAGAGCTTATTATACAAGGGTTGGATAAAAAGTAGTGGCAACACTGCTGTAACATGAAAGATGTGTGTCAGGTGGCACTAGCGCTGTCTGTAGCTGATAGCAGAAGTTCAGTTGAAGTAGTGCAGTGAGTGGCTCTGGTTGTGTTTCATTGAGTTGCATTGTGCATCGTCTTGAAGTGCAGAAGTCCAGTTCAAGCACCCTAACAACATGTTTATGAAACAAGAACAGTACTCCTGGATAAAAATTGGAGTTGCACGAGGTCGTAGTGCACAGTATTGTTATCCGGGACTGCGAGAAGCATGTGGTGATGCTGCTTTGCCATATCGCACAGTGGCACAATGGATGAAATTGTTCCATGAAGGGAGGGATGCCATTCAGGACAACCCCATGTTGACAACCACACAATGCAGCTTCTTGCTTCTTTGCTGGATGTCAATCGTCGATGGGCTACGTGGGAGTTAGCTGCTGAGGTAGGCATTTGTCACAAAACCGTGCTCCACATTCTGCACGATATTCTTGGATACCGCAAAATTGCAGCGCGTTGGGTACACCTTACAATGTCTGAGGTGCAACAACGGCAGCGTTATGCAATTGCACAGGACTTGTTGGACTGGTACCAGAGGGAAGGTGATGACTTCCTTGGAAGGATCGTCACTCTGGACGAAACTTGGGCTTGCTCATACGAACCACACTTGAAGCGACAATCAAATGAATGGAAGCAGAGTAATGTGAAGGCAATGTTCAATGTGGCATATGACACTGATGGAGTGATACTGCATCACACTGTACCTCAATGACAGATAGTAAACACTGCCAACTTCTTCAATTTCCTGCGTAATCATCATCGTCCAACACTCAGGAGAAAGTGATGACACTTATTGGCAATGAACCCATCATCCTTCATGACAATGCAAGGGCTCATACTGCTGATGCTGTCAAGGATCTCCTTCGCCACAGGTGATGGGAAATACTGTAACATCCGCAATGCTCAGCTGATATGAGTCTGTGCTATTATGATCTCTTTGCCAAAATGAAAGAACCACTGCAAGGGACACGTTACAACACAAGAGAGGAGATTATTTGTGCTGTAGGGCGGTCACTGCTGAACATTGACAGAAGTGGACGCACTGATGGTGTACGACGCCTTCCACAAATTTGGCAGAAGGTGGTACACATGGGGGGGTGATTATATTGAAGGAATGTAAGTGTGTTTACCTCAGGTAATAAAGTCATTTCAGAACTATAGAGATGTTGCCACTACTTTTTATCTGACCTTTGTACAAGCAACTAGTGGTGTCATAAAACATAGATCTGTTCTCGTATCTATGCCTTTATTTGAAACATTTTACAGTACGGCAAATGTTAATGAAATAGTGGAAAATTTCTGACTCTTTACATTGTGATGACTGTGACACTGCTTAGCTTTCTAAGAATGGGATTTTAGTTGCAGTGAAAGAATGCTGAAAGCATTTCTATATTCAGAATAGCAAAGAACACACTGTTTTTATAATGTTGACTGTGAAACTGATTATTCTACTTTTTTCCTTAGGCCTCCACGACCACCCACAAGGAGAATGGGTCGATTTGGGAGCGGCAGCATTAATGACTCTAGCACCTGTTCTAGAGGATGAGGCTAAGACCTATCCTCCCAGACAATGTGCCTCATTTCATGTCGGTGTCTGTGTTCGGTAGATTTCTCTATTGACACTTGAAAGACATACTGTAGGACCAATATAGTGACAGTATTGGAACACGCACACTTACAGATATTATGTCCAGTAGGAAGAGGCACATTGCTGAGAGAACAGCCAATTAATTATCTTCAGGTTGTGCCATACCTTATGCTTTCTGCTTCAAATTCGGCACAACCCTTTCCATGTGTATGAACCCACAGGGACCCTTACATGCATAACTGGAAGAAGCCATACAGCATCATTCCCAATCTGAAATACTGCCACATGAATTAATATGAACTGGGAAAAGTACCCTATTAATAATGACTTACCATTGGGCTTTTTTCCCCTCCAGACTATATATTTATTTGATTTTGTATTACACATTTCAGACTGTATCAGTTGCAGTGTGATACATACAGTCAGAAGTAAATCTAAATTCAGGAGTCAGTAATGACCATCTCATTTTGTGATGACTGTTATAGACAGCCAGAACAGAACATCTCCAAAGAACTGGTCTCAACCAGAAGCATCGTGTAGATTCCTTAGATGATCTTTCTGATGTCATGGAGTCTTTATTTTTGCTCTACTGGATAAATAGTGGGAACCCCAAATCTCAAGACTGTAACTGCCAAAGTGCACAGATAACATCAAAGGTTATCAGATTTTTTTTCGCAAAGGGCCTGAATATGGCCATTCATTGAGTCATGTTAAAAAATAAGTTTAATAATATAAATAATCAAGAATACAGATTGTGTACAGGCTCATAACACACACTCCTTAGGGGACACTACTGCTCATTCAAACAAAACCAGACTCATAGGTGCACTGGTGTAGATATGCATCAAATTCTGATTTCCCTCTAACAATAATAACTGAAATGAAAGTTTGGCTGTCTTTGACATAGTAAATAGTGTGGCAGAGGCTGCATTGATCGGCTAATCATAAACTCATACAAGTTTACTCGAGAACTGACTAGCCAGTAACTCCTGGTGATGAACTAAATAGTAGCTTTAGCCTCATTAAATTTCTCTAGATTCTTTCATCCAAGGCTCCTTTTTTTCAAACTTATAGTTCATCCAGTTACACTGTAGAGTCTAGACAAATCTTGCCTCCTCACTGATGTGGTTTTAGGTAGCCCTTCCATGGTGTGTCCTTATAAATTTGACATTTCAGCAGAAATAGTGTGGCAGAGAGAAAGAGGGAAGCTTGGATATTTTAGTTGGTTTCTCTCCTCTTGTAGCTCCTCACTTGTCTGGTCCTTGCCCTCAGCTTGTAGTGACTGTAGGTGGACCATGCCAAACAGAATACAGACCACACATTTGGTCCAAGTTTATATGAATGCTTAACCGGTATCCAGCCGACATAGCCACTGCTGAAAACATTCTTCTCCAAAAGTTTCAAGTCTTCCTCTTTCTGTCTTTCAACTCATAGGCCAGTCTTTTCTCCACACCGCAGTCCTCATTACAGCAAGGGCCTATGCATTAGTCTTCCTTTTGTGCAAAAATGTTGTTACTTCATTTTGGCCAAATCATTAATTGGTGCTTATGGTGATCTGTTTTGGACTTCTGTGTTACTGAATTCCAAAAATCAAAGTACCCAGAACTGCCCTACTGTCTTGCAATAGACTTTTTCACAGTTTTTAAAAAATACAATTCTTTATATTTTGATTCTGTTGGCTTTTTGCAGTTGTGACATTCTGGTGACCTTCTTATGACGTCACTTTTATAAACCTGAACGAACAGGAGAATTGTTGACAGATGTTTGGGTATATACTGGAAAGTACAATGTATTTATGAATTCCTATTTAGTAAGTTTTTATGGCAGTTTTCACATAATTATCATAGTATAAATAAATAATGTTTGTACAGTCAACTAGAGTATGTGTACTCATGTACAGTATTTGTGAATCTCTCATTTATATGTTACATTGGAAGTATTCAATGAACTGTGCAGAAAAATGCATTTTTCACTCAATATTTTATATAGTCTTTTCTTACTGCAATTTCTTAATTTCTTTTTAAATATGTCTGATATAGGGACATCATACATGTAAATTGTATAGAATTATAGCATGTTACTTAAATTATTATCCGAGATGCTTTACATTCATTTGGCAACTGAGTTCAGTTTTTTCCCAAACATTCACATTTTTAGTGAAATTTCACTGTTTTATTATGCAAGGAAGGCAGAGGGCCACCTTGATTTTATTGCATTAGGGGAGCAACGGGTTAACATCACTGATTACATTCATGTTATATAGTATAGTAAAAGGCCACGCCATATCTCAAGTGGTTAGTTGCTGGCTTCCCACCCCGGTGGCCTGGGTTTGATCCCAGTTGGACTCCACCCTCCACTAAGTGAATTAAAAAAATTTAATTATATAGTATGGTAATTTGTAATCACAATTAGAACATAACCATTCTGAGTGGTGATTTGGATAATTGGTTAATGAAGACTATACATGAAAACTTGAATGCAGTTTCAGTAGCATACTTTCATTTGGTTTTAGAGGTCTTTTACAAAACTTGTGATCTTTAAAAAGACAAGATATTTTCAGTTGGGTATACTTTATTTACATAACATTTCTAGACAAGCACCGTACAATTCTTAATTCAAATGCAAATACAGCTATGTGTTGAGATGCTGTCTCCCTTAAAAAAAATATTAATATATACTACTGTCAGAGAATTGAGCTGATATTTATATTCACATTATTATTAATAATGGGCTCTTCATCATCATGACATGGTGCAGCCTCTGGTTGCAGTGATGATCTCCAGATATGGAGAAGAGCTACAGTATATACATTTACAGCCAGCCTACAAGGGGTGGTCCTTACACTTGTAGGTTCGGTGTGGGGCAACACCCTATCACCCTAAAAATACATTATATAATGAACCGTCAAAAAAGACATGAGACTTGAACAGATACTTTTGGAAACTGGCAGTAACAAAACTGTGGTTTTCTGGGATGTACTGCTGTGTTAATCCTGAACTAAATGCTGTGACATCTCAGAAGACCATAGCCATAACATTTGTATTACATGTATGACAAATAACCTTACTTGGATGGGGACTTCAACTGAAGAGGTAGAACTACAACAGGTTCATTTGTCTTTGGGTTATCTGCGTAGATACTCCATGTTTGTCGAACACAGTCAAATATTCCTGCAATTAAGGAGCCGGTTAAGTTACAGAATTCACACAGCTTACATCAAGCATATTCAGTATACTACATGTGATCTGTGTAGATCCCAACACCACTGTTTTACTTTCAGTACAGCTTCTTTTTCCAGTTTTGCATGATGAGGCATTTTAACCCGTTGCCGTGGTTCGTCGTGTATGTTTCGTCAGGGATTTAAATCGTCTGGGGGGGTTCGACGTGTATGTTTCGTCCAGCTGCACACGTATGTTATAACGCCCATAATAATTGATGGTTTTGCTGTAGATTGTTAGATTTTTCACTGGCCTGTTGTCAGGAGGACTGTATTTAATGACACACGCGTTTAAGAGCGCTAAGTCGTCGTTACATATGCCTGTCTTGCAGCAACGTTCCTGTGGCTATTGCGAGCTGTTTCTGTTATGAATGATGTGTTTTGTTTGCTCTGAAGCTATAAACACCAGAGACTGATATGTGCTGGTGTTTATAATATCATATTGCCCTGAGCTGGCTATTCAATTGGAATTCTTAGAAGAGGGATGTACAAAAGTTTATGCCTGCAAAATCGATTGCTTTCGCACAGTACATAGCACCCATTTCTTAGAAAAACGCCACATTTTAAGGCAGAACACTGTGGTCACCCCCTGAGACGATACGGATGTGTGTGGGGGAGGGAAAAGAACTCATTCCTTCGCTCATTATCGCTCCAGTTGACTCCATTTTATCGTACTGACCTTGGTGGTCGTTTCGAGGGATGACCATAAATATTTTTTTGAGCCAGCTAAGCTCTACTTTCGTTCACTACATACCAGACAGTTCTTAGAATAACTTCATGAATTCTGTGGTCACCCCTACGACATCTCCTGCCGCCAAAATGGATGGAATATCAAAGGCATAGCAACAACCCCTTGTTATGATAACTCGTAACGTTGAATTTACTACAGCTGACCTGGCAACTAAACGGGTCACGGAAAGACATTTCCTTGAAGTATACCCCTCACGGGTAAGAAGGCAAGGCCGCACATATGTGTGGTTAAAAAAAAGGGCCAAAAAAAATACACAATATTGGAGCGGAGAATGGTGAACGTGGGGCACCGTTGGGTTATACGAATGCTTCAAGGCCTTCCTTCTACTAAACCAACTGCCTCCATTACCGAGATACAGGGCGCTCATATTATAAGGTAAGGTTATAAAACCACCATTTAAGATCATTTTAGTGAAAGTTTCATCCTTCAAGGCGTACCATTCACTGCTGAAATACTAAACAACCTGCTTCCATTGCCGAGATACAGGGCGCTCATATTATAAGGTAAGGTTATAAAACCACCATTTAAGATCATTTTAGTGAAAGTTTCATGTTCCTATCTCATAGAATTTAAGAACAATGATGAATAAATAATTTTCGAGCAAAATTTAAATGGCCGGCTGAATATATTACCGCAGGAGCCGCGGCCGCGGAATTTAAATGACCACGTCAAAGGGTTAAACTTAAGTAGGATGATTTTCAGAGTGACGTTTTATTTTTGGTTTATTTAACAACACGTTCATTAGTTAGTATAAAATGATTGAATATTGGTGAATAATGGAGTGGAAAAGATGTGGATGTAAAGATATAAATTTTCTATTTTGATGATGAAAGGAGGAAAAGAGGAAAGGAAGAAAGGGAGTAAAGGATTAAAATATGAAAAATATGTTCCCCCATTAAAGTTGAGTAGGCCTTTTCCAGTAGTAGACATAATTAGAGAAATGAGCAAGATAAAACATGAAGAAAGCAGTCTTCTGGGATTTGGCACCGTGTATATGTGGTGTTAACCGACGTTTCGGAGGAACGTATCGCCTCCATGCTAATATGAAACCTGATGATTAGCTAGCCATCTTACCTACAGCTACAGTCTTCACATAATCATCATCACCAGATTCCTGGAAAATTGGATACTCTTTATTAGACTGATCACCCAGGATGTTGATAACATCTTTTCTGGAGGCAGGATGTGGGAAACATTTCATGGCAGCATGACGATGATCACTGCTTGTCATTATTTCACCCCCTGCTTCAGGAATTTGCAATCTCAGATATCTGCAGAAATAAAATGAGTCATATCAATTTTGTATCACCAGTGCTCCATACTTATATCTGAGCTAGCGTGTCATTGTAATTTGAGACTTCAGCTGTGGTTTCACTTCTAGCACATGATTGAAATCAAAATAATGAAGCTTTTATAGCAAATTCTAACATACTTGTTGCAATGAAAGATATGTTCTCCAGGACTGGTAGTGAAAATACTAAGTGAAGATTCATTAGCTGCACCCACTGGAGGTCCCACCTCTGCATTATGGAACAGTCGGTCCCCCTCCTGGTTTAGGAATGTCATATTGATACTAACTGCATCTCCAGCCCCACAGCCAGAGTCGCGCAGAATCTCTTGTGCATGGGCAAAGTTCTCTGCTGCTAGCAGAGCTCTTGTCAAAAAGGAACGAGCTGTAAGCATAGTACTTGGAGTGACCAGATGTGCAAACATCCTGTTTTAAAAGAGTAATCTCTAAATTGAATGAAGGGAGTGAAGAAAACCTAAGTCAGATCAACCAGTCTCCAAGCTGAAATTTGATGCAGGACCTCCTAAATATGAAGCAGGAGTGCTAGCCACTCGACCACAATGTTCAGTCTAGTGAACTAAATATGCTAGGCATACTTACGCGTCTTTCCAGATGCCAGAATCTTGGCACTAATAACATTGACAGAATAGACAAATCCATGGTGATTGTAGCTCATGGTGTAGCCTGGTAGATGACCTGCGTAACACAGGGATGTGAACCGTTCCTCAGTAACTTTCCAGCGACCTTGTGGCAAATCAGAGATAATGTGAGCTGACACAAAGTAGAAATGATTCAGCACTTCAGCCAAGGCATCCTCAGTGTGACCTAGAATCTCCTGCAATCAGAGGGGAAAACAGTACTTCTCTTTTCTTCAGATACGTCCTTCTGTGTACTGAGGATAGCATTTTGTGTGCTGTGCTTGTTATTGCAAATTCAAACTATGGAAAATTCATCAGGCAGAACCTCCAAGTTTCACATTGCCACCACATCTGTAACTGGTAACAATGAAAGTATACTTCATAGAGAATTTCTAGGTATATGTGTGCTCTAGAACAGTGGTTCTCAACCTTTGTCAGACTGCGGCCCGGTAATTTTTTTTTTTTGATAAGAAGAGGCCCCAGGATAATTGATGTTAGGGCCCGGTACTGGGCCATGGCCCAGCGGTTGAGAAACACTGCTGTAGAAGGGGGATGTAAGAAGTGTTAGAGATGGAAAGACAGCTGACCCAGAACAAGACTAAGGGCCTATGCCATGAAGTTGATGATAATGGTGAAGATGATATATGGTCAATCTATAAAGAATTGCACATGATTAGCTCCAGTGGTTCTTTATCACCATCAGACTGAATGCAATATGTGGATTTAATGTGACCACCATGGTTACACTCTACAAAACTTACCTTAATAAATACTGGTTACCTTTCAAAGATCTATTAACATACAAAATTTATGGGCATAATATTAAGTTTCAGTAATGCCGCTTCTGCCTCACAAGTTTGCATGGCTGTCATATTGCTGTTATTGTGGTAAAACAAAGTAAAAAAAAAGTAAAGCTATCCCTATAACAGGCCGTGAAGGCCCATAGGGTTGTGAGATGTTGAGGGTCCCACATTATCTAGACAGTTGGCTCAAAGGTGGCAGTAAGGTTGTCAGCCTTATGTGCCGGCCACGCTTCACTCCCCAGGAAAATTATTTAATTAATTCCTGGTACTGATTTCTGTTAGAGGCTGAGTTGATCCCAGGGCCAGAGTGAGGCTGGAAGGATTAGGTCAATTGAAAAAAATTCAATGACCTCATCAGGACTTGAACCTGTGGCTTTCCGGCTTGTAGCATAGTGCCTCAACCAACTATGCTACCATGTGCCCCTTGTTATTGTGGTAGGAAATTACAAATTTTGAAGGGGGTGTGGCCACTAGTGGAATGACATTTATGAAATCCATCGATTAGTTGAAATGTTATTGGTGGAATGACACATGGAAACGATACTATAAGCCCATCTTTCCTTATCCCTCTATACATATAAAAAATAATACATCGTCTCCGCATCAGCTGCAACAAATCTGCAGAAACATTGATGGAGGCACCACGTAATGGCTTACCTGTTGCCACAGACATGTGCATTTGCATGTGAATATTGCTAATAATATAAGAAAATGAAAGCTAAGAAGTTGGGAAATGCATGCTTTGTTGCACAGCACAAAATTGGTTACTTATTATAATAAGAACCTGTTACTATGGACTGAAGATTCATATATATTGTGAGTCCAAGTAATTTCTCCCCTTAACTACTTGCATAGCACAGGATCCTTGAGATGCTGACACTTACTCAGCATGATAACTTCTTTTTAAGATCTTTTAGAATGGCATATGTTACATTAGGTACAGCTAGTTAATTGTATTCTACAAAATGTTATACAAATTATATATTTGATAAATATAGTATTATATGAATTGATAAAATAGATGGACACACAGGTATGAACAACAAAAGATATTAACACTTGAAGAACCCAGGTTCAGAATTTACCTCTCCAGGATGGTTACAGCAAACTGTGGAACATCCTGTGCCATGGCTGTTGGCTGATTCCTGCCCCAAGACATTGGGTAGCATTTCGTATATGTGAAGCAGAAATAACTGTAGCAAGAAACAAAAACAAAATCAATCTGCTGTCAATTAAGAGTTATGTCTTATGAGTAGTAGCATTGTATAAATTTTGGAAGAAAGCAAAGTTTTAGAGGAACTTATCTTGGTATAGTGGTAGTTAAGTTCCTCCAGCATTTTATAATATCCCTTCTACAATATGCTGATACAATCCAGAAGTCATAATTATTAATCCCAATCACAATAAAAACACCACACGTCATACCAGGCTAAAGTGCTTTAAAACAGTTTATGTGAGAGCACCATACATATATTATGTATTAAGTAGTGCAAACAAGTTTATTCTATGCCTAAGCACAGTGCCACAAATATACTCTGGACATGGAGGTATAGATCCATACACATTCTAGACTTCAGTACTAGATGAAGTTGAGTGGTGAGCTTCACATCCCAGCTGCCTTACTTCCAGGAAAAGAACCACTGGTACCCTTGGATAGGAATTTGGGTGGACCTCAGTGCCAGTTTGAACATGGTGGTGAAGAAAGAAATCTCTGCCAGTGCCAGGAATGAAAGATGACAGTCCACCAAGTAGTGTTGAGATAAGAAAGTTGACCACAAAAATAGTTCTTCCTCATTATTGGCTACAAAAACTCTGGTATTTATGCAAATGAATTCAACACTGAACACATTATGGATCTTAACACAGTTCACATACTGTCCACTCTGAACTCAGATATTTACTTTTGTACAAAGTACAGGATACAAAATTAGGTTAAATCTAATTAATGACTTAGGTGATATAAAATATATATGAAGGGCATTCCATATATAGTGCCTCCTATTCTTTTGTGTTAATATGTAACGTCTGAGCCTGATGTTGGTGGGGTTGTAGTAAAGGTTGAACCTTCCTGCCAATGTACTGTTAGTCTGGTTGTGCGACAGATAGCGACAGCAGAGCAGTCTACTAAAATGGCGTCTGACATAGAAGTGTGTACGAAACAGAGATGCGTTATTGAATTTCTCACTGCAGAACAAATTACATCCATCGACGCTTGCTAAAGGTGTATGGAGATGATACAGTGGATGTCAGCGCAGTGAGGCGGTGGGTAGTGCGTTTCAACAGTGGCGAAAGTGAAGTGCACGACAAACTGCACCTTGTACATCCCTGCTCAGCTGCCACTCCTCACAATGAACAGCGCCTCAATCAGCTCATCTGTACAGATCAGTGGATAATGACCAGGGAACTGTGTGCATGGCTTAATATCGGCTGTAATGCATTGGAAACGATGTTGGGGAAGCTGGATTATCGCAAAGTTTGTTCCAGGTGGGTCCTGCGGATGCTTACACAGGACCACAAAACTCATTGAATGGAAGTCTGTCAGGACCTGTTGCACCAGTTTGAGGCTGAAGGTGACAAGTTTCTGGACAGCACTTGTCACCGGAGATGAGAGGTGGTGTCACCACTATGAGCCGGAATCCAAAAGACAGTCCATGGAGTTGCGACATCTGGATTCCCCAAGAAAAAAGAAGTTCAAGACACAGCCTCAGCAGGGAAAGTGATGTGCACGGTCTTTTGGGATAGGTGGGGTGTGATTTTCTTGGATTTCCTGGAGCCTGGTGAGACTGTCAGTTCCGAACACTACAAGACGACGCTGACTAAGCTGAAAGCCCGCATTTCCCAAGTCAGGCCAGAGAAGCAGACAACCTTTTGCTTGCAACACGATAATGCTAGACCCCATATCAGTTTGGCGACTACTGTGCACATTGCAAAGTTTGGCTGCACTGCCCTACCACATCCACCTTATAGCGCGATCTAGCACCTTCAGACTTCCATCTCTTTGGGCCTATGTGGGCAACATTTTCCAGACAACGATGCTGCCATTGCAGCTGTAAGAAAGTGGCTAGCCTCTGCTGGCGCAGCATACAGGCTCTTGTTCATCGCTGGCAAAAGTGCATAATGAATGGTGGTGATTATGTGGAACAATAACTGTAAATAGCTGAAATCTTGCTCTATGTAACTGCATCATTATGCCTTCTGTATCTGTTGTAGTTTTCATTAAAAAACAGGAGGCATTATATATGGAACACTCCTCATACTTAACTGTAGTGTTTAAATTATTACATGACAGCTCAACTACATGCAAATAGCACCAAATGACACTGCAGGTTTTCTGCTACCTGCAAACTCTTAGTGCAGTACATTTGATTGGGAACAAATATGCGTATAAACTTTATTATGATATAAAACTGCACCTTGTGGAAGGGCACTTGAGCTCCATCTGCAGTCCCTTCCATCTCCCTCACATACTGTGGGAAACTCTTGTGGACAGAGGTCAGAGTCTCCTCGTACACTTTCTTGCCAGCATCTGTCTCGTACAATGGCAGAAGCACTTTGTTCAGATTTGGTGAAGCAGCTAAGAAACTGTGAATCAGGCTACTGAAAGTGCGCCCCTAGTCAGCAACACACCAATATTAGTGTTAGAATTGATATTTTCACAAGGATAAACTTAAAAGCTATCTTCTCTCTTTTCAATTCATTTAAAATGTTGTCTGAAGTATGCAAGTTCAAAACTACAGGTCTTTCTTCAGTTTAAATAGCCTGGAGAACTTCAGGAACCCTGTACACTTCTTCCAGGATTATAAATTAAAACAAGAGTAGAAAGTTGTACTCCAGTAGACTGCGCATATTTATCAAATTAATTTTTTGCAGTTTTGCATATCTAATTGGCTTTGATGTCTATTTAGTGCACAGAGAAATCTACAGTTGCAAAGCCAATCACACTGCAGAGAGAAGAATGATTTCTCATTTTGTCTTGTTAAATATTCACCATACCAAAAGCAAATGTTGAAATACAAATTGCAAATATATGTTAAAACCAACCAAATACTGGTACTTATCATTTGTATGACAGTCACTTTCATACCAGAATTCTGATAGAATAAATACTGCAATTCAATAGTATCCAACTGGTCTATATGGCCAGCACAAGATAATACTAAAGCTGAGCTTGTTCTCTTGAATAAATTATTCACATTAACCTTGGATGTCATTCCCAAATATAGAAAGCCACATAAATTGCACACTTGAAGGTCATAATACAGTGTGTTCGGTTCATTGATTTTGTGGTTCCTATTAATTAGATGTTGGTTTTGTTAATGAAAGTCTTAATATTTGATTTTTTAAAAAACACTAAACTAACACAAACAACCAAATGACTGACCAACTACTTGCTTTCCTGTACTGGACTAAATGAACTAATTGTCTGGATGCGCTAAAATGATAACTGGACTGACTGGAGTGGTTAGAATGAATGGAATGACAGGCTGCGTGAGAGTACTGAATGATGGGAGTGACTATACTCCTTGAAGTAACTGGTATGGCTATCCTGAGTATGCTAGACTAGACTAAGTGGCTGATGTGATTTTACCAAACGATTACAATAGATGAACTGTCTGGAGTGACTGCTTTTACTAGACTGATTGGTTACACTACTTGGAGTACCAGATGTGACAAGAATTAGAGACTGGAATAACAAGACTGAAAGACTACAGTGACTACGCTATTGACTTGGCAGTTCACTCACTGACTGTACTGAGTGACTGACTTTCTGGTATTAAATCTTGAAGCTCCAGCACTGCCAAAACAAGCGCCCACCACAGTACCTGATACTTAAACTAATTCAGTTTCACCCACAATTTTCAAACTTATGTTATGTACTACAGTTTTAATATTATCCTTTAAATTCTACCTCAGTATTCTAAATGGTCACTTTCCAGGAAGTTTGCATACAAAAATTTTAATTAGTTTCTGTAAAAACTTCTGTGGTATTCCTCATTTGCCTGCATTAAAGATGAAAGGAAACGGATCTGGTCTGGTGCATAATGTGTAATCCACCTTGCATTTAATGCTATGTGGCTGTGGATCACTATCAGATTACATATTCTAGTTACCACAGTATCCCCCCCCCCCACACACACACACACACACAAACAAATAGAATCAGAACTTCAAAAATTATTTTACAACTACATGTATTTTGTATCTTCTAGAGACTAAACACTTCATACTGAACACACTATTTCTGGTTTCCCTTTTGTGGCCTTCAGTGGTGTGACTGACCAAGTAAAAGGACATAATGTTAGGGGACACTCTGCACCCTTCGGAAATAGGGAGGTAGACTCAAGTTACAAACCCCACATCCTTGACGGACATAAATGCCTAACAATGCAAATTACTTCATATATTCTTGTGCATAATTTTTAATTATGACCTTGACCTATGTGAAGTTATTTGTTGCGTGACATACCCAACACGTGACAATATTTAAAATGGGGTCAGTAATCTCACTGGTCAGCATTTCTTCTTACAAATAGACTTTAAAGGATTCTGACGATGGTGTATGCTGTACAGAACTACTAAGGTATACTAAGGTATATTTTGGACTCTATCCATCGTCTCCCAATGTTAGCAACATCTACATGGAACACTTTGAACAACTGGCTGTCGACTCGGCGCAGGACAAACCATCGCTGTGGCTCCGGTATATGGATGATACATTTGTGATCTGGCCTCATGGTGTAGAGGGGATACAGAATTTTCTTACCCACCTCAATAGTCTGAGACCAGCCATCCAGTTTACTATTGGAATAGAATCGGAGGGAATGATCCCCTTCCTGGACGTTCTGGTCATAAGAAAAGGGACGGCTTCAACCACGAAAGTTTACAGGAAACCTACCCACACTGGCTGATATCTTAATTTCAATTCCAACCACCCCCCACATGTCAAAAGAGGAATTGTTCATAGTCTTCATGATAAGAGCTACCACCATATGCCAAGACCAGCAAGACAGGTTAATGGAGGATGACAACCTGAAATGTGACCTGCAACTCAGTGGTTATTCTCTAGGCTTTATTGACTCAGTTATCACGTCCAAGGGTAGTAGCCATCAGAGAAAAGAGGAAAAGCCTCTGGGCACGGTTTATATCCCATATGTCAAGGGCATCTCTGAGAGGTTTAAGCGCATAGGAAACCAGTATAACATTAGGACCGTCTTCAAAAATAAACACACTTTACGATTTTCACTCGTGAGAATGAGGCCAAAAAGGGATCCTCATTGCACATTGCATTTACAGCATTCCCTGTGAATGTGGCAGAAGCTACATTGGTGAAACAGGCAGACCGCTGGCCATGCAAATCTGTGAACACAGACATAATCTCAAGCAGGGTCTTTTAAAGAAATCCAAGTTGGCTCAGCATGCATATGAAGAGGGCCATAAGGTGGGCTGGGATGACGCTAGGGTCTTGGAGATTGAAAGTAACAGCAGGTACAGAAAGTATAAGGAATCAGCTCACATGGCATGTTCAACTAATCTGATCAGCCAGCCCAGTTTGGATATTTCTCCCTTATGGAACACCCTCATCAATGAAGAGGTCAACAAGTCAAAATGAAAGTGTCTTCCACTACATGTGCTAGTTTTGCTCCGGAGTTTAGTCTTATTTTGAGAAGTCGCCCTGCTGGCATGATTCTTTATTTGCATAATTAGCTATACATCCTCTATATTTTTTACCCTAGTTTTTAACTTAATTCCTGGAACTTAATCCATATCACTGTTTTATCACATTTCTGACATGTGCATGCTTGGTACAAACGTTCTAGCTTGTCTTTTTATTCTTAACTCCCAATGATGGAACCTGTTGTCATGTATTTATAGGCTGTTCTCTACTATTAAGCTTCTGTACTGTGATGCAGAGTAGTTCTGAGTAGGTCTATCTTGCCCTATCCACCTGAGGATGGAGACCAATACAGTATCCGAAACATTGTGGTTTTTTGTCTTATATATACCAGATGATGGATAGAGTCCAAAATATACCTTATAATTCCTTACAGTTTAACATTAGCTTTAATGTACTAGCAGTTAGTAACTGTAAACTAATTTACCACAATTATAGTACTCACTTTCTCTACTATATTTAGCATATGCTAATGAGCTTTGACACTGCTTATCAAATTTTGCTCATATCTAATCAGTTCCTTGTAGTCCAGCATACATCAGTCTTGGATGTGTGTGCACGCTGACACCCACAACTCTAACATCAAGGCATATGATGTCGGAAACATTTTAATAATATATTTACTGGTTATATATAAACTGAATTTATTTTGGTATACTGTTTTGAACAAAATAATAAACCTTCAAAGTCCATGAAATAGAGGGATTTTTCTTGGTAAGTACTGGCTTCTAAAAGAGATTCTCTATTTAATACATAAACATGCTCTAAATTAAACTTACTACCTTCAGAATACTCATGTTACACGGCCTTTCCAATTCTGCATTTAATGCAGGGACCTTTGATGCGTCTGCATCTTCTTTCACATTAACCAGATCATGTGAACAAATTCAGTTAAGACAGATCAAAATATATGTAGCTACCACAATATGTTTAAACCTTCTTAATCAAATTCTCTTTATAGCCACTACCTTCTTTAAACCCCTTTTCACTAGCCTAAAACAAAATCCTGAAGCCCTGCATGTTAAATACATTCCTAATTATCCTCGTCACAGAAGATCATAAAGAAAAATTCTGACCTACCACATCAAATCCAACTTCATAGTGAGTCCCACGTGTGTAGAGAATGGGAATACTGTTGCGCCGACCAATCTTCTCCACTACTGGCATTCTGTAACAGTGCCTAAGAGCAAGTGACACAACTATCTGACTGAACAGCAAGTTCCCAGAGTGGGTGACCTTGGTTATGAAACCAATACTTGACACCTCTATGGCTTTATAGCTACATTTTATCTCATTAGCTAGTCTGTCAGTCAGTTACTGATTTACTGAAGGGATTCTCAACTTACTTCCCCACCCCTTTCCCTACTCCCCCCCCCCCCCAACCCNCAGATAAAAAAGCTGCACAGTGCTGTTTCCTGAAATTTAAGTATACAGATGCATTCAATAAGAACTGATACAGGAAAATACTGACAGATTATATGCTTAAGGTGACATGTGATTAGTTTCACATTACTTGATCATTACGTGATACTTCAAACCAGCTCAGACTTCAAAGACTGCAATAATATCAGAATCAGTTTTCAAAGTCTTATTTGTGTTTAGGATAAATAAATCTATTTAAATATTTATTTATTCATAAATTAGTAAAAGTATTATAATGTCCATCTGAAAACACAAACATTCACATTTTCAAAACTGTAACTTACCTATTGTTTTATATCGATGTGAAACCTGAACTTTCACTCTAATATAGAGCAAATGTGAATACAAAATTCTCAGGAGAATATCTGGACCTACAAAGGTGAAAATAACAGAAGGATGAAGAAATGTGAATAAGGAGTACTCTTTGCCAAAACTGTTGAATAATACAGCATATGATCCAATATATGAGAAGTCACCAGCGGTCAGTCGTACAAACCATGATTCCAGTTATTTAATTAATAAATCCTATACGCACAATTGTTATGTATTGTGGGTACCTTAGAAGTCAGTCCATGTTTTGAATAAGTATGAACGGTTACATAGCGATGACATAAAGGTTATGTAGTGTCAAATGAGTTAATTAGTTTATTAAGATTGTTGAACTGGGAAGTAAGCTGGAGGAAACATTTCTCTTAATTTAAAATACTGACCCAGAATGTATCTGCAGGCACAGAGGAAGACTACAAAACATCAGACACATCATACACCAATCATCAGATATGAATATGTAGTCTGACAGATGTCACTTTCAAATTATATGTATGGTTACTGTATGGGTTGCAAACAATTAAATCCATAGAATAGGACCCTTCTTGAGAAGTTTGTATGGAAACCAGAAGTTCATTAACATGTTCACAAGATCCTGACACTGGACCTTATTCTGAGTCAGTTAAATCCAATTTGCAACCCATTTATTTAATAACATAAAAATTTAAAGCAAAATATATCTTATATCTCTAAAATACTTGGTATCATTTTGGCTTATCATCACTTCAGGTATTCAGCCTATGTACTCCTATGATGGGTATCATAAAAAGATAATCTTTCCATATTTTTAGCCATTTTTGTAAGTTTCTTCTTCCTCTGGATTGACATTTTATAACATTTGTAATAATCTATAAATCATTGTATTCATACACAGAGGAAAAGAAGACAATATGCATTATGAATGAAAATTATGGACTTTAGGGCTATTTTTTTCTTTTTTACATACATAACTCTATCAAATTAAACATTACTGGTACCAACATAAATTAAACATCTGAATCATAGACTTACTACTAAGAAACTGTGGGGCTCTCTTGATGTGTCTTTGTCATTACTCCGATGACAACCCACTTCTTCGGAACAGTTTGTTGGCCCCGAAAAGGACCGTGGCTGCTGAGATGATTGACCGGTGAGGTAGCGCGGCGCACGCCGGTAGGGAAAAAGGCTAGTTACGGTGAATGGCTGGTGAAAAGGCTAGTCGTTGAGCGCGGTCGTAGGAGCCATGAGGCAGTGGCTACGCCAGATGCCCAGTGAGTCGGACCGTAACACGACCACCGGCGAGTCCAGGCGCGGTGCCCCAGTGAGTCGGGTGTGAGAGCGCCGGATGGCCGAGGCAGTCGTGCCTGGCGCAGCCTGCTGATGTCTCCGAAGACCGAGTGCTGGCAATGAAGCCTGCTGGCTGAAGTTGCTTGCTGTGTGGCTTGATAGTAGACTGCAGTCGGACTGAATTGAACTGAATCACTCGGCTTTGGAGTCGCTCCTTTTTATACGCTGGTCGGTGGGGCGGAGCCAAACTCGAAAGTGAGGAGGAAGAATTGATTGGCTAGCGCGCGTAATGATGTAGATGCGGGCCAGGAGCGATCCCAGTATAAATATGAACGTTTGAAGCAATCAGATTGGTTAGCGCGCGTGATGGTGAAAAGCGATGTGAAGAGCGAGCGTTGCAGAAATGCGTGATAATGTGGGATGTTCCCACATCACTTCCTTCAAAAACATTCAAACCAGACTTCAAAGATTGAAACTGAAACCACTGCTTATTGTTTCATTATTTACTGTATGCTTTTCTCTGCATCATCCTTTGGTGCATGTGTTTCACTGAATATCAGTGCCCTAGTTCTATAAGTCTATCTTGTCTTTACTAGCAGACGGTGATAATTCAATTCAGGAAGTAGGTCACTTGTTTTGTGTGAGTGGGACATCTCTTACATTGAAGGAGAACCTTAAATAGTGGGGGGTACATGGTAGTTGGTTGAGGCACTATGCTAATGGCCAGGTCACAGGTTCAAATCCCAATGAGGTTATTGGATTTTTCAATTAATCTAATCCTTCCAGCCACACTATGGCCCTGGGGTTGATTCAGCCTCTAACAGAAAAGAGTATCAGGAATCTTCCTGGGGGGTTAAGAGCGGCCAGAGCATAAGTCTGACAATCTCACAGCCATCTGTGAGCTGACTGTCTAGAAAATGTGGGACCTTCAACCTCTCACAACCCTATGGGCCTCCACGACCTGTTACAGGGACAGCTTCACCTTTTTACCATAAATAGTAAGTGTAGAGACAAAATCCTCAATCATATATTTTGACGTAAGCATGTGGGCAATTTAGGACATTACATAACATGGAACTCCATAATTTATACATATCACCTAGTATGTTTAGGATGGTGAAATTAAGATTACAATCAATCTCCTTTCTTCTCCATTTTCTATTAAACTCAGCTCTTACTATATATATCTAAATAGCCTAAGAATTTAACAAATGATCTTGCTCTTCCTGCTTAGGTCTTAAGGTCTTTCAAGTCACTGAACCCTCTTAACTCAGCAGAACACAGTAAATTAAAAGGACTTTGTCTTGCAAAATATCATTTAAAATTTAAGTACCCAACAGCATCAAACATTAATGTCCTGAATGGAATGGACAAAATATTAACTGGACACCCCTACTATAAAGCAAACTGTACCATTGTTAAAAATGTCAGTTGGCTTGGTTCCATGTTTGAAGGATATGATTGTCAGATTTAGGTGGGAAAGGCATTCACTTATTGTTATGGACCTTCTGATTGCAAAGATAATAATTTAACCTTCTTAACCATGCACGGGTCACTTTGGTATGGACCTTGATTATAATATTGCATTCAATTCTATTATAAAATTAGACAAAAGAAACAGACCCTACCCATTAACCTTCTGTAGCTCCACCTTCCTCCCCTCCATCCACAAATGTCATGAAAGTATTAAAACAGGACACAAATGTGCATGAAATAATGACAATTCATGATGAGATCAATACAGGAAATTGAAAGTAAAATTTTGTAGAGCTTTCTTAAGAGATCAAAGTACAATACTCACTTTACCAAGGTTGTTGCCAGAAATCACATTCAGAAAAGACACAAGAAATCAGATATTATCTATATAAGGGCGGACAGTTATTTTCTTAGCCTAAACTAACTCCAATAAGCACAATACATTTCATAGTTTTGGTGCAATCTCACTCTGGAAAGAATATTGTCACGTGGGTCTCGCATTTAGCGAATCTTTATTGGATACTCACTCTTACACTCTTTACAATTACTACCAGTTGTAGTATCACATGGCTTCTGTCTTAATACTCAATTCAATTCTCTGATACGTGTCGTAAGCTCTGCTTATATAGGAGTTATTCGGACTCAACAGAGGACACCCCTCGCCAAGGTTCGATCTCATGTGTTCGGCAATCCGTTGCTTCGGGAACGCTCCTTATACACTGGTAACATGTTTCATCTCATCTGTTGTTACTCAACGACAATTTGTTGCTGCGGGAACTCTACAATTTCCATGTATTCATTGTCGTGGAAGTGTCTGTTCCGATTGTAGCGGTTGTCACAGTGACGGACGTAAGGTAATGCATCACATTGCTCCCTTCTAAAGGTTGTTTGTTCCCGAACAGCCTAACAGTACTTCCTTGGTTTTGTTTCCCAAGTTGTTCATCTTCCTAACGGTATCTCGGCCCTTCCATGTTCCATAACATAGTAGCTAGTGATGATATGCAGAACTATAGAACTCCTTACATATAACCAGCAATTAACGCAATGCAAAACAAGAAACCATCACTGTGTTAATGTTATAAACGGTTCTTCATCTCACTGAATAAATGAGGTTGGCGAAGAGACATGCTAAGTAGGAATCATCTTCTTTGATACAATCAATGGAAGGTCAAACGACTGAAGAAAAATAATGCAACAAAAATGTACACAAATCTCCTTGGACATGATGATGAGACCGTGCAGATCTCTGAAATGCTGGTTTCTAGTTCAAAATTGACATGGCTTGTTGCCTGAGAAGATCTGAGCAAATTTATTAACTGTGAAAGCTTCAAATCTTATCTTACATAATGTAATAAAAAGAGCAGCAAAAAATGTACAAATTTAAACACAGTCTCAACATTACAACATATCACTGAAGTCACAATTTCAAATATAGCATACCTTGGCCTATTTAAATTTCCTTCAAATAAGCAAGTGTTACACAACGTGTGTTTAAAATGTGTACATATTTGTAGTTACTTACAACAAAGGAAATCAATTTACCATGTACGAAACAAGAAAAGAATAGCAAAATTAAAAAGTAAAGAACACAGAGACAGTAGGCCTATAGGAAAAACAATTCAATAGCACCACAATAAAACAGAATGACACACATGCAAAGCAGGCGCAAAATATCACAGTTTTAAGAGGACACAGATAACATCTCTATTACAGTGAATGAGTACTGTAGGTGACTGAACTTCATAATCTCCCTCTCAAGTCAGACGTGCACAATATTTGCAAAATGATATGAACAGTGCTGTTTCCTGAAATACAACAAATAACAGTAATCTCTCGTACTCGTGTCTGTCTAGAA